AGCCCCGGCGCACCTCAGCCGGCCGGCCCCCCCCCAGAGGTGTGAATGCTGGGAAGCCCGGCGGGCCTCTCGGGGCGCAGCTGCATTTCCGGCCGGTATATCCTCTGATTGTGTGCGGCGCGCACGCGGGCCGGCCTCCGCCAAACAGGAACCCCGCGAGCCGAGGGGGGCCTGGCACCGCGCGCAGGATATCCTTTCGCCCTCTCCCCGGTTTGGCCAGGAAGGAAGCCGGCGCGTCCCTGCGAGGAGATTCCACACCTTTGCCTTACATGTTGCAAATAAAGGGGGGGTGGAGAAAGAGAGCATGTGTTGGGCAGGTGTGTTGCACATCTGGGCCCTGAAAGAAGAACTCTGCTCAGAAGGGGAATATCGTCTCCGGGAGCTCGGCTGATGATGTTCAAGGCCATGATGGGGCCCAGGGCCGAACGCCTGCCTCTTAGGAGGCCTATCCTTCCCAACCCCGAATGCGCTTTTCACATTCAGAGGGGCAGAATTTATTGGCAACTGAAGGCATCATTAGGCGTTCTTTGAAAAAGAAATGTGTTATGCTCATGCAGTGGTCCAGATTTTTTATTTTTAGTGTTCCTGAAAGTGAACTTTCTGTGCCCATCCAGGCAAACCGGAGACATTTCCCCTATGCACTTATTTGTAGTTGGGAGTGTACCTGCACTCCCAGGATGGCTGCATATTGAAACCAATGGGGGAAAGACTTTAATTATGATTTGCTAAAGAGGTCACGGAAGGCTTTGACACAATGGATTTTAGCAGAGTGAGCAAGTCTGGAGTTTGTCCCAGAGGCTGTGAAAATTATGGAAAGGTGGCACAAAATTATAAGGTTTGTTTTATTAATTAGGTGCTGCAAACTGACCCTACACATTTTGTTTCAAAGGGGAGTTCTGAGTTGCTTCAGGCTTGCTCCTCCGCCAAGGTGCCAAAAAATTCTTGGTAGATTGAAAAACTGAGGTAGATCTTATCGGAAGCCTTGTTCAATCCTGTGCAAACTTATTTCCAGTGCAAACTTATTTACTTGGTGGAAAGCCCCAGTGGGACTCACTTCTGAGCTGAGATACATAGGATTGAACTCAGACACATGGCAAACATACCAGCTGTTGCATCTCAATCAAAGCTAGATTCTTTCTTTTTTAAAAATCCTTTCTCAAGGTTTTTCTCTTTTTCTTTCAGTTAAACCAATGTTGCTTTCTGACTCCCGTTCAGTTACAGCTTCATAGAACTGAAAACTGAGTTAAGCTTTTCTTAGAGTACCGTGGGTGGATTTTATAGGACTGTTCTGAAGGAAGTTCAATCCTGAAAACATTTTCCTGGAAGTAAGCCCCATTGAGTAGACTTTAGTAAGAGTCTGAGTTGAGCTACTTAGGCTTGCTCTCTTGAACTGCAGGATCTGCTAGCTGTTGTCTGGAACCCTGATCCTAAAATCTATATTTGAAAGGAAAGCCGATTAAGTTGCTTCTAAAGTACTTAAGATTTTGAGAGTGCTGATTTTTAAAAAAATGATGTTGAATAATAACAATAAATAGCTGGGTATAAAACTGTGTTCCAAATAGTGGTTCTTTTTTAAAAAAGTTATTTTCATATTACGCAGTGCAGAATGAAACTGCCAATACCTGCTCATAACAACACTGAGATTGGAGTGATAGAATTGTATGTTTTCCTGCTCCATCCCAAACAGTATTTTGAAAGAGCCCTGTCTGAAATCTTTCGGATTTACATATAACATAGGGTGGATTTGTGGGCCAATCTTTGAACACAACAGAGGCATAAAAAGTTACAGAACCTGGACAAAATCTTCAAATAAAGTGTGGAGAATTTTAAAATTGGTAAATCTGATTTTAAGAAACAGACTAACAACCCAATCCAGAAGCCAGTTGACCTCTGTTTTGACTTTATTTGTGCATACAGGAAACATTTCCCCGTCCTTAAAGTTATTTTAGTTTTTTGGCTCTGTCAGTTACTTCTTCCCCAGTTAACCGGTTTGCTGATTGCTTTGCAGCTGGTTTATGGCCCCAAAGCCAAGTGTTTAACATCAGCTATAAGACAATGGTGTTTATTCCAGAGTCGTATCTTAGAATGATGTTTTTTGTTTTAAATGGGAAAGCTGAGTTTTTCTGTAACATATCCAAGAACCAGTTTCTTCAATCAAAGTGTTTTATGCAATATGTCAGGGTTACCCACCATATTAGATTTTGCAAGAAACTTCTAGCACTTTACAGATTTTTAAAACAAATCTCATCTCTTGGATCACAACAGCAAAGTCAATGGCGACCGTGGGCCAGACTAAACTCCCAAGAACACATTCCAGTGTGCGAACGAGCAACTGAATAGCTGGCTGATCTTGAGGGCGGATGTGCAGCTTATGTGTGGCAGAGTTTTTTACAGAGCTACCTGAGAATCCTTTTCTTTGGGAGGGTTGTTAATTCTGTTCTGTAGCACTGGAAAATACGCCAAGTGTTTTACAAGGACACCAAAAGGCCAAGTTGACTGTCGATTGTATAAATCTAGCTAAAACCAGAACTGGGAAAGGAAAGTAAAATGCGGAGGGAAGAAAATGTTACTGCCCGAAGCAGCAGCTCCGGGACTTAACTTAGAATTGGCGGGGGGCTCGTATCTCCCCCCCCACATGCACTATCATTTTTGCGAGATCCCTTTAGACTGTGAGCTCCACCCTTTTTAAATCTTAGGGGAGCCTCTCACAAAATCATGCACCGCATTTCTGCAGTAATGCGATAGTGTCATCATTTTTAGATTATGCAACATTGGGGGTTTTTTTTACTAAATCAGCTAGAATAGTTTGGGTCAACAGCATGATTTTTAGGTTCTATTTAAAAGATCCATTCCAAACATTTATTTGCAAAAAAAAAAAATCTACTGAGTAACAATAAAGTCACAGAAGGATCAGTCCTTTACAACACACAAGCCATGTAAAGTATTTGTTTCATCAGTCCAGAAGCAAACACTTGTTTGCCATATACGTTCACGACTGCAGAATACATGGGTTGCAACTGTTTACACTGGAGACCTTGAAGGTATATAGAGTGGAGGTCAGTCCTATTTTATTCAGTGGAGGAAGGGGGTTCTTGGGCTTGCAACCTTGATTACGTGGACCTCGATTAGTGTGAGACCAATTTAAACAAATAACTCCAATTTAACAGGTTTGAAAACTGGGCAGATTACAAAAAAAGAAAGACCTCCATTTTAACCAATGAAAGAAAAAAAGAAGAAAAATGTCCCTGTGTTTTCTTGTTTTTTATCTGTGAATTTAGAGCTGTCAAGAATTATACAGAAGTTCCAGAATACATCTTTCTTTTAAAAAAATTGGTTTTAATGCATGCAGACACCTGTGCCTGGAAAACTTGCAGGCTCAGTTGAGAACCAACCTCTTACTGAACAACGCACCAAAGATGGGTTTATCAACCTCTGTTTTCTATCATGACCAGATAGAACCTCCATGTTTAAGAATGCTTATGATCACTAAATGCTGGCAACAAAACATAATGGAGTCCCATTGCTTGGGTACCTTGTGGAAGCATTCAGCCTGCCACTGCTAGAGGCATGGGAAATAAGCAGAACAACCATGAAGTATTATGCCAAAGAAAAATATCCAAAGACTATTTAATTCTTATCCAGTCTCTCAAAAATGTTTCACAATGACACCATCAACACTAACGGACTGTGCATATCAAGTCTCGTTTCGTTCACAAACGTCAGAGTGTGTAGCATTGAAATTTCTATATAGTTAATTCATTTAACAAGCAATATGGCCATTTCTCATAGTAACTTTCATCAAATCCAATAGTGTGGTGCTGGAGGCATAGCTTGACTAAATGGGCCTTGTTCCAGTCCAGCAAGATAGTTACTGTGAGCTCTTCCACTAGTTTGGACTGCGATCTTGAGCATGTTTCGAAAGAATGCGTGTGGGAAATCAATTCCCTCCAGTGCAACCAGTGTGGAAAGAGTTAGTTTATTGTGTTTGTAACCCACCCTTTCCCCCAGAACTGAGATGGTGCACTCGATTCTCCCATCCTTTATCTTCACAACAACTCTGTGAAGTAGGCAGGGTTAACAACTGGCTCACGATCACCCAGTGACCTTCATGATGAGCACAGGTTTGAACTTGGTCTCCTCATTCAATGTTCTAACCACCACTATACCTCCCTGGTAGGAAGCTGAAGGCAGTCGCCTCCATACCCGCTTTCAAATTCCTGAGTCTGTATTGGTCGAGATGTAAGTTTTTAATCTGACCTCTAGCCCACAATTACAAGGGAGGGGGGATGGACTTCCTTATAACCTCTTGCTATCCGTCTACTCACTACTGTCTTTCTTCTC